GGTCAAAGAAGCAGAACCATGACGTTGTTACAGACAGATGATAAACTGAGGGGCTGCACTGAGACCAGAGTAAGATAAATAAGGATTATTTGAAACTATGGAATATGCAAAGCTACTTGCAGAGCTACCAGCAGAATCAAAGACAGAAAATATGTGTTTGATAAAATGAACATAATAGGTACTCTTTATGATCATGTAAGAAGTAGATATAATATACGTTCTACCAGCGTGGATTGAAGGTATAGACTCATGTATTTAACATATAATTGCATCTGTGCTGATTTTAACCTCAGTGTGATCCAAGCGTGATGCTCAGACTTGCAATTTCATAAGTCACATTTGTACATCTGAGAATGGGACGGCTTCCTGCTCTCTCAGTTCCCCCTGTCCCTAATGACACTGTGTCAAACTGGTCGGTGCTGGAGCTGCTGCACAGCCCTCCCTGTATGTCCGGTGGACAAGCATAGACGTTTGCTTAAGAGGGGAATAATTGCTGGAGACCTACTGCGCGGCTAAATCTAAACCACTGACCCATGACAAGCTGTCCTCAGACCGTGACAAACGGTCCATGTTCCATGCCAAGATTGTGGGTGGCCGGCTTTCTTGCTCCAAAAAGCCTATCTGAGGAGTGAGACCGGCTGCTATAGTGGATTTCTCTCAGCTGGGTGCCCGTTAGGTGCAAAGCTTGCCTTACTTAAAAAAAATAAAAGACTAAAAAAATGCATTGTCATTCTTGTAATATGTGTCAGCATATACACATGTAGGGAAATGGAACTGGTGTAGTGTGTGTATGTAGAGGGAAGTGTGTGCAGGAGAGTTTATAAGTTCCTTCGACTTCTTAGGCAGCTTGGAGAACTGGAGAAGGAATAAACTGAAGCCACATTCACCACATGAATTCACTGGGACTTCTCAAGAATTTCGATTCTCCTCCTTTTATTTTTCTTGCTGATTCACTTGCCTGACACAAAGCCCCCCGTTTACCACCAGCTTATCTCAAAGTGTAGAAGGCATTGTGTAAAGCTACGAGAGCAGTGGACAGAGAGGATAAGAGGCTGCACTGTGCTGTCAGTTTGCTTCTCCCACTGGAGGGGATTTCTTCTCTCCGGGCTTCAGACCCAGAGTCAAGGGGTCACAGTGTGTGTGAGATAGCTGGGGCTACAATTTGTGTGTGTGTGTGTGTGTGTGTGTGTGTGTGTGTGTGTGTGTGTGTGTGTGTGTGTGTGTGTGAGTCATTGTGCTACGCCGACACACGAGACGCCATATGTTTCCGCCCAGTTCGCTGAGGAACAAATACACAGTGCTTTTTCACACGAGTTCCCACAAGCGTCTGTTTTCTCGCTCACACTGTGTGAGATGTGGTCCACGTTAATTATGTTCTAAAAGAAGGATTACAAGGGACACCTGCTTATGGTTTTCAGGCATGGTGAAAAACATGACTAACTAAATAGAGGTGGGTGCAAACTTTTAAATTAGAAAAAAGGTCAAACTGACTGGTTCTTATTATAGTGCTTTTCTACCCAAGCACTCAATACATGGCTCACAAGTTCTTTCTATCCAACATACATAGACTAAAAACTGAAACCTTTTTTATACCCTCTATATTATAATGTTAAAAGACTCAAATTACTGAAGCTAATGAAAACTTAACTACATTTTTACATTCTAAACAACAATTACTAAACTAAAATGAAAAACCAGTTCTGGAAACCATATGAAACAGAATTAACTTTAAAAAATTAAGGAGTTGTACCATGGTGGGAATTTAAAAATCTTTGGCAAACTTTCTTCTCGAGTTATCTCATTCAGATGATTTTCTGAAATTTGACCTCTGACCTTGACCTTGAGGTCAAGATCACTGAAATTCAAACTCGTCCGACAGTTTTTAGAAGATGCACTGTTGGTTTGGTAAAGTCATCTGTAGATGAGACCCCCAGACCTCCTCACTCAGAAGCCTGTCTAAAATGAAATGACAACTTAAATGACAACTATTCGCAGGAACCATGTTTATACATAAAAACAGCTTAAAAATAAACAGAGTCAGGTGATTGTTGCGATTTTGAAATGCTTTACCTGATCATTTGTTATCCATCCACTTGAGTCCAGTTGTTGAGGTGGGTATTACTGTTGTATATAAATGAAGTCAACTGTGATTTGGTGCTTTTAACATGCAGCTATAAACACCTACCAGTGTTGTAGACATTAAGAAGGTCATCACCATGCAAAACAAGGAGGCTCTGTAGTCCAAGGGTGCACATTCCTGTCACATCTGGTTTGTAGAACTGAACTATGAACAAACAGAGTACAATATTATGAAACATTCAAAAACCATGCCACAATCAAACTTGCAAAGACAATAAAACACCACCAGTGTTTGACAGTACAGATAACAGTTACTGACTGAAGAAGGGAAAATCCACAAGTTTAATGTCATCAACAGAAATGAACCACACCACGTCACCTGATAAAATAAAGTTAATTTCCAACACCTTAAAATAACAATTTCAGTTTTTCAAGAGTTACAGTTTGTATTCATACTGTAAAGCATATAAGTATTTAACATTCTTAGAACTCAGATATGGTTGTTGGCCTGCTTCTTTGGGAGCTGTGGTCTGGCGTTTAAGGGGTGTCTTTAACAGGTGCTGGGTAATTCTCGAGTGCCTGGGGCCCTGGGGTCCTGTCCTCAGCTTGTACTAGGATGGCCGGGGGTTGGCTACCCGTTGCCTCTTGTCCTTTGGGCCTCTTGCCCTTTGGCCGTGGGGCCTGTCTGGAGCCTCCCTCTTCCTTCTGTTGAGGCAGACACGTGGTTATCATTGGGAAATGTGGTTTCGGATCCTCACTACGCTTAATGAGCTGTGGCCAGCCTGGGTCTCCTGGGCCTTTCTCTGTCTCTGGGGTTTGTTTCAGCTTTTCACACACATTATCAAGTTTTTTTTCTTTGACTGTGTTTTGTTATAGATGGAGCAGTTGCAAATGGATCCTAGACCCTTTTTTTGCTCTCTTTTTCTTGCCTGTCAGCTCTGACATTGTTAGGCAATGCTTATTAAATAAATAAAATAAAATAAAAATCCATCCATCCGGTCTCTTCAGCTTATCCTTACCAGGGTTGTGGGGTGGGATGGAGCCTACCCCAGTTGCCATAGGACGAGAGGCAGGGTATTGCCTCTCTGTCACAGGGTTGACACATAATATTATGTGATGCCCTGAATACATTACACAGAATCACCAGTTAAGCCTTTGTCTTTGGACTTTGGGAGGAAGCTGGAGTACCTGGAGAGAACCCACACAGACAAGGGGAGTACATGAAAACTCCAAAACAGAAAGGTCCCAGCCAGATGGTGATGTGAACCCATAACCCATAATAATAATAATAATAATAATAATAATAATAATAATAATAATAATAATAATAATAAATCTTCTTAATAAAGAAAATAAATAAAAAGAAGCTGACTAGCCTCCTGGTGTGGTTTGCACAACAGATCATTCAGATCATATTTCTTTTTGCTAAAGCTGCCTGGTGGGACACCTTAAAAGTGAAAAAAAAAACCAACAACAAAATATTCAGACCCGGCACAGTTACCGCTTCATCCAAATGGTGAAATAATGACATTGTTTGACTTGTTATTCCTTGATTGCTTATATTCTTCATATAATAAACAGTTACAATAAAACACAATAAAAACAAAAACATGCATTCTTCATTTCCAAGTAACATTAACTCATTTATGTCAGCAAGGAAAGCTAATAGGATTTACATAGTAGCTCTGCTATTGCGTACTGGACAGACCTTTTGAAAAACAAACTTCTGCAGCCATCTTTGTGAATAATGTTTGCTATCATTTTATCATCCTATCTGGGCTATTGCTTGGGAAATGCAGAAATTTATTAATAAATGCATTAATGAACCACCACAAATGTTTTAACACTGTTTTAACAGTGGGTGCTCGCTGGATCTGTTGCTGTTTATAGTCCAAATTGGGATGTTCCGGATCTTTAATTCCAGCTGTGGATGAGTGTTAAAAAGCAGCAGAAGTGTTCATTTCTGGCACCAGTACTTTTTTTTGTTTTGCTAAATCGAGTGAGGTGTCACTGAGCGATAAGGGGAAGATGTTCTCACCCTGCCCTACTTTGTGGTTTTTCTTGTTACACTCAGGCTGGTCTGTGATCCTGTAAACCAAACAAACAAATGGAATACATCTATGAAACTTGATGTTGGGCTTGTAATGACCTAGTTTAGTTTTAACTCTTTTCCCCATAAAGATAATATAATAAATGATGACTTTCGACATCTCAGGATCTGTCATTAAAGACGTGGTTTGACGACCATTAGGATAGTTTCTAGGTTTTTCAAGGGTAGCTGTAGCAGAGACCACCTCACTAACTTCTGATCTTATTTTGTTGTATTAGCAGGCTGAAATATGACAGCAACTGCTCAGTTCAGACAAAAATGCTAATGATTCCAAGCAGTAAAGAATTTAAAACATATCGATATTTTGAAGCCTACTTATTTTTTATTGATTTAATCGAAAAAGTGAGAAGTATAGTTGTATGCATACTTTTTTAAGTAATAATTTGTGCTCGATGTTTCTAAACACAGAACACTTGTGCAGTGTTATTTCTGTAACTGCTCGATGTAGAGGCCGTAGTGCAAACAAACAAAAAGTCAGAACATAATGTAAATATTGTGTACAAGTACTCTTACATTTCAGAAAAGAATCTCGCTTAGTCATAGTTATTAATGTATTTATAAAATTAGCTTAACTCGGGTACTACAAAGTGCAGCTCATTGATTACAATTAGTTTAAAAACTCAAAAATAATCTATTATAACTTGATTTTATTTTTTCTGTATTGTTTTTAGTAAAGCCATCTTATCACATTTATTTATTCATCTCATCTGTGCTTTCTCTGTGAACTGAGAGGAGAGGAGATCAGCGTCAATCAGAATGCCGCGGTCTCACTTCATATGGGTTGGACCAAAATGCAATTTATTCCCGTAATTTTAAAGGGGATTGGAGCAACACATCCTTCTCCCGTCGCTTGCACCTTCTTCTGCTCAGCCTATTTTGCAATCACAACTTTCTCTTCCCTCGGCACAACTTGGGAAACTGGGGGAAAAAAAGAAAAACAACTTTTCTTCTCGCGATAGTAACTAGTTTAAGCAGCCGCCATATTCTTTGACAGTATTTTGATTCGTATCTGCTGGAAGTGAGGAAAAAGAGAAAAGTGAAGGGCTGTCGAGGGGAGGGGGGGGCACAAGAAGAGGAGCTGTCAAAAAGGTATTCCCGAGTCTCTGTCAAACGGCGGAGGACTAAGGCTCGGTATCCCTCCCCCTAACGCTATTTCGAGGACACAGAAGGCCCGGGGCCTCGGTGCAAGTTGGCTCTTCGTCTCCCTGGCAGTAGCTGGATCCTTCTTAGCTTCTCTTCTCCCAGCTCCGCGGCCCTCCGGAGGTCCAGCGGCGGTCTTGGGTGTTGAAGGCGGCCCGGGGAGCGGCGGCGGAGACTGGAGGTAAGTTACATTTAATTAACACGGCTTTCGCCATTTAGCAACAGCCGGAACAACACAGTTTTAATAGCGTTACGGTGAAAAGGAAAAGGCATTTCGGCTTATTATGCCGCAAGTGCTTCTATATACGGTCCATTATTTGAAAGAAAATGGAGAGAGAAAAAAAAGCTTTTCAGATGTGGAAAAAGTTTTTGTCTACAGTAAGCAGCTAACTTAGTTAGCTAACTTGAAGTGTTTAGAGCCTGTTCAAATCTCTGAGTTGGGTAACTACTACTTTACATTTTGAAACCAACTCGTTAGCTTAACCGCTAAGTCCTGTTTAATATTCATAGCTCCGTGTAGATACTAAGGGTCTCTTTATTTTAGAGTTACACTGCCTGGCGCTACATGTTTTATAGTGTGTGTTAGCTCATGCTATTTTTTCCATTGAGCTCTCCGATGAAACGTCGCACGATTAGTCGTGGATGGAAACGTTAAATCATAAAATTGAAGCTTCTCTTCTTCTCCTCCCCAGAATATTTGATCCCTTACGAGCTTAAAATGAAGCTCGTACACCTCAATTAACTGTTTATACCGTCGCTACCACAATGGAAGCACGAAAACTTTCTTACTGACTAACTTTCACACAAGTTGAAGTTGTGATACATACACGCGTGGAAGCCCTACTGTATGTATCATGAACAAGTAGAGCCTCCGAGGTTCAAATAGTGTGGTCTTTGGTTGTTTGATAACTAAGGCAATAAGACAGTGACTTCGCCTATTTGATTACTTGTTTCTCGCCTTTTAACCGTATGGGTCCGACAGATTTGTGGCACTTGTGATAGGGAGTGGGTCCTAACCTTTACCAGCGAGAATGACAGCTCTGGGTATAGTTGGGATGAGAAGTGTTTGTCCTGAGATCATTTAAACTGTCGGGATGTTGACTTTTCTGGCTTGTGTTGTATTATTTATACTCGTGAAAACACTAAAGGTGCCAGCATGGACTGGGAGATACATTTGACTTATTGTGAAAGTTTCATGTGAGAGTAAAATCTGTGGCAGCAACTGCTCCTTTTCTTTGTCAGCTTTTAATCTTAGGAAAAGTATTCCGAATAGAAGTATTCCGTGACAGGTATTAGATTAAAGATGCTGGATAAGTTTGCTACCTTGTACAAAAAGAGGTGTAACAATCAGTTTGTCGTAGCCCAGCGAAAACCCCTTGGGTGTGTTCAGGCAGGCTGTGTTTCTCCATGTAGCCTCACTCAGCCTGGTGTTCCTATTAAGACAAGACACCAGTTGATGCACAATGTTGGTTGTGGCTGGAAAGTCTGCTGGCTCCAGCAGCCACTTTGGAAGGTGATCAATCTGTGTCCAATTAGTCGTTTTTGTCCTAAAATTGGCAGCTTTAAAATCCTGAATTGACTTGTGACTTGACTTCTGATTTTTTTTCTCTTCTCCCTCTCCTTTTTGCTTCTGTTCTTAAAGAAACAGCCCAGTCACAGCGCAGCCTACCTGACTGTGGCTTTTTATGTGATTCCCACTATACTACTCATTTACTGCTTTCAAACTGCAGAACTCAGAATCCCTTCGTTTTTGGCCTGCAATCAAAACCTTGCTATTGTCGCTAACCTGTAAGACTGTATATTATTCACTATCAGCTTTTGCCTGTCTTGACTTGCAGTCAGCATTGCACTTCCTGACCAATAAGCTGCCACGGCCAACTGTTTATAGGTGCAGACCCCTAACTGAAACCATGTGTGCCTTTAGCTAGGCAAATATGTTGCTAGGAGACCTTGCTGATTTGCCACTCTTTGGAGACTCGGCAATGAATGCACGAGCCTGAGCGATAAGTGCTAAATGAGGATTTGGGGGAGGATTATGGAATTGTATAGAACGGCATGCTGCTGATCGCTTTATTTGGTTAGCATTAAGGCAAATGTTAACAGGTAGTTGGAGTGCTTTATCCTTATGTTGGTTGAGAGAAGTGAAAAGAAACAGGCTCCCTTGTTCTAATTGCTTCTGTACATAATAAACAAGCAAGAACTAACACTTGAGAGCTTCTACAACCAGCCTGAGAGTTTGTGGTATGTTGTCGCGAGGCCTGTGCCAATGCTAAAATCTTTGTTCCTGGAAAAACCTGTTTGCTGATTTATCATTTGCAGTTTGTACAACAAGTTATCACTGCAGAGCAAACCAAAGGGTGGGGGTGGTATAGTTGTGTAGCTTGTGCCCCTGCCCCCCCACCCTACAACTGGCTTCACAAGGGGAAGGATAATTGCTGCATATTAGTGTTCTTGGACTGCGTACAACTTGCTTGTTGTTCAGATGAAGAGTGCAGAGTCAGTTTAACCCAGGAAATGATATTGGTTTACCTTTCTGAGTGTCAGGGGCGATTATATCTAAGACGCTACAAATGCTTGAGCACCCTGCTCAGTGACTTGTCCACGTAGGTTATTTTGGAGGGTGTGCTTTCTTCAGAGGTGTTGGTGAAAAAAAAACAAACAAACTGTAAGCCCAAATGGGAGTTAGGTGAAAAGGAAGGACCCATCACATTATGCCCAAATGCTGCAGACTCAGGAAGAGGGCTCAATGTTTTTTAACCCTCCCCCTCTCCAGTGTGTGGTTGTCAGGAAGAACCCCCTCCCCCTGTCCAGTTCTCCTGACTTCTCTGCTTTATAATGTGAGGCCTCCATTACACATGCTGCTCATGGTTGTCTCCAGTTCAAGGGTTAAATTGTACACATTGAGGCTGACACTGCACACTCCTCTATACGTCTAACTGCCAAAGGCTACGAGCTTCTTCATTTTGCAGTGTGAATTTTGCAGCAGCTTTACAAATGGTCCGTGGAGACGTGGAGCTGTGTATGATTAAGCTTTATTGGCACTGTCATTTCATTCAGGCAAAAAGAACTCCTCACTGACCTAACAAATACAGAACTACAATAAATGTATACATATCAGAGCTTAGATTGTTTCTATCCACTAAATATATTTTAATGCCAGATACTGTGTCCCATAATCTCCGGAGTTGTTTCCATTAATGTGTATGAATGACATTTGGTTTAGTTTCTACCTGTTTGACTTGCTTATGTTGATGCTGCACAAGTACGTTAGATGTAGCTGTAAACCTAAAATATTAGCCGAAAACAAGGCCGATAGTGCCATAAAACTGCAGAATTCAGTGGAAATTTGCCAATTTTCTGCTGCAAGCATCCTTTCTGATCATCAGACACTTAATTATGCATTTGTAGACCTAAATGCTCAAAGTAATTAAAGCGATTAGGTTAGGTTAAAGCTCTTACTGCATTTTCTTTTAAAGCGTTTCTGTCGCATTTCTCACTATGTGATTGGAGAAAAGTAATTTTATTTGCTGAACCTGAGCAATTTTGTAGATTAAGTTAGCCTTACTTCTAAGTCTAAATTAAAAGTAGTTCTTTTGTGTAAGCATACTCTACACTTGGGTAATAATATTTTAAAATCTGTATTCGGCGTGATGGAGGTTTCAGGTCTGAATGGCACTGAATTGTTATTAGTTACATTATGTTTATGGTAGAGATGCACAGATATATTGGCTGAATATCTGTATGTTCTGAAAGTCAAAACCAACAAAATAGAATAGAATATCAGCATTGTAATTGGCTATCTAAACTAAAACAATTAATAAAAGATAATCTAGTAGAGAAGAGAACTGATGAAAAATAAGGGCGTGTTAAATGTATTCCTTACCCGCAAGGACTCTGGTGAACCCTTCACTTATCTTTAAGCCAGATACTTGTTTTGCAGTTGGGACAATGGGTCAACATGATTGACAAACTGCATAGATGTTGCAGCACTAATGCCAATAAGGAACTGAAGAGGGCATAGCGATTAGGCAGTGGCATGCTGTGACTTACAGAAAGGCAGACAAAGATCAAAACATCTTTGCCACTGACTAACAAGACATATCTCATCATTGTCATATAGATTACTACTGTAATGCAGAAAATCATATGTTTGTGGTGGCTTTCCCGTGTGGACTTAACATATCTGAAAAATTAATACGCTCAGAAACACAAATATAAATATGTTAAAATAATAACAAAACTCACAGCTGAATTGAAAGGCTTGTGAATTGTGTCACAGGGTTAACTGTCAATATCTACAGGGATTAAATTGTTAGAGAAACATGAAAGTGGTTTGTTGGCAAACAGCTGGTTAAAATTAGTAATGATTTCTCAGAGATGCTAATCTCTGATGGCTGAGCCTGCACCTGTTCAACTGGCCTGTTTTATTAAACTGGATTTGAAACCCCTTCTTCATCATCAAAGCTTTCCTTGCTTATATACTAAAAGAGATAATAATAACCTCTTCATGCTGCACTCGATCTACATCACACATGTTGGCACACATGAGAAAACTTACCTGTCAGTAATCTGTGTGTGTCTATTTGCTAATAGTAGCCGTGTTTTCACACAAAACACGGTTTTTAACTGATCTCTGAGCAGTGAAAGCAGTGACAATGGCAGCGTGTCTAGCATGCAAATCTCCCATCAGTCTCCCACCAAAAATGTTTTTGCATTTGATTAGACAAGCACTGCTTGCCTTGCTTGTCCTAATGGAATGCCACTGAGATCAGGTATTGCCTGATATGTAAAAGAGATGTCGTTTATAAATCTGCATCCACAACTGTGATGTTGCTGTTGTGCTGGAACTGAAACTGGATTATCACTGAAGAAGTCTTTGAGTCTTGCAGTGTACATTTCCGTTTGATCTGAGAAGTTTCCATTTTAGTTGCTGGGTACATTTTTGTTTCTCCCATATTGTTAGTGCTAATGTTTGTTGTAATTTATTTCCATCTGTTAGTTGTCTGGAAACAGTGAAATTATGGCCTGTCTTAATGATGCATTCAGTGACTAAGTGTTGTTGACTTAAATTAATAGGATGGGAATTTCAGGTGAAAGTAATCTTTATTGGTGGTGGTATGTCTGGGCCTTTGTCACCTGTAGTGTGTGTGTGTGTACTTCTAAGTTCAGGTGAAAGTTACA